TTATATTATAAAATTTATATAAATATATAAATATAAATATAATTTATAATATATAAATATAATATATAATTTATATATATATATATAAATTTATTTTTATAAAACTTTTAAAATTTAAGATCTATCAGCGGCAACTAGGAATAGAATTTGAAAAGACGTGAATTCACGTCAGCGATCGCGAATGTGTTAATAACCATCTAAAGGTTTAATTCATTTTTTTGTTAGTTCCTGTATATTTTTATTTATTTTTAATATTTCATAAAAAAGTAATATTACAAATCATATTAACCCTCTTACAGAACAATCTTAAGAAATTTGAATTAATATTAATGGTTTATTGCTTTCCTATAGCATTATAAGGAAAACAATATATTACAAATAATAAAAAATATATAAAAATAATAAATATATTACATGAATTAACAATAAAATAACATAAATTAAGAAATTTTTATTAATAGTAAAATCAATAAATCAGCATTACGAACTATTCTACTCATTTTTATTTGTGGTATATCATAGTTATTTATAATTGCAACCAAATACAATGAAATAAATAGAGATAAATATGAAAGAAAAATTTTTAACCTTTTTATATATAAAATATGTTATATAGTAGTTTTATGTATATACTTTTGCATTAAAATTTGTAATTTAATCATTAAACAGTTTTCTTTTTTTATTATAAAGATACGTATACTCAATCGAATGATTCGTAACAATATTTATGTTCTTCGAGATTACGAGGTACGACTTTCAAATCAAGTATGTTGCTGAGCTCGTTCGTAACTCTTTCGAAAAATCTCGTTCTGAACGTTTGTGTGCGTACTCCGATTTTCCATTCAAGAATGTTGACTCGCGTATTAAACGTATTACTCACGGCAGAAATCAGGTTGATTTTTCTACACACAACAAATTATAATTAATATTCATAAGTCGATCCGATTCGTAAGATCTGATGCATTCATTAAGATATTATATGATCAAGACCGTCCTTACATTATAATTTAATGAGTTTTCAAACGAAATCTATTTTACCGACTGACTCGATTGATCGAATATAATATAAAAAATATCTGCTTTATTATAATCTTTCGATGTTATTATTGTGATTACTAATTCATAAATTGATCGCTTTTTTTGAGATAATATTTAACAATTAAATTTCTTTCGTCGAGTTTATAAAAATATTCTATTGCATTAATTATAATATTATAAGTACGAAAAGAGACATCAACATTTGGCTAAAATTATCTTAAACTAATTTTTTTTACGAAATCAGACTAATATCATTTAAAAAGAAATATTTATTAATTTTGTTATATTCTCATAACAAAAAAATTGATAATCAAAGACGATCGATCGTTCTAATTAAGATATTAAACCTGTAATTTTTTTGCATTACCAAGTTACACAAGAGAAAAACACGAAGAATTTGCTACGAATGTAGAAAAAAAATATTCTACGTCGTAAAAGTACCGATGAATGGGTTTCAAAGGTACGTGTTCTCTTAGCATGCCAGAAAACTAGTCACAAAGGTGGGGTGAAGAAATCGTAACCGTAGAATCGAACACGCGCTCGTGTAGAAACGAATGGGAAGGACGAAGCTGCAGAATAATATGTACAAGCTATGGACACGTAGAGACGGTTGTTTTCGAGGCGAATCAGGGAGAGGCCACATTCCAAGCCACGGAGAAAGCCTCTCTGCAAACGAGCGCACCAAAGCGGCGAAAAGTTGCGCATTCAACGGAATACCTTGTGATCCATTAATCCATGCCTTATAGTAGGAGGGATGTGCTCGATCTATCGATCGATCGATTGATCGATTGATAGTATGTTGTTCCGTTCCAACTCAACTTCATTTTACATTTTTGTTTTTATTAAAAAAAATTTTTATTTATTTTCTTATGTTTTTTATTAATATTATATGCGTGCAAATAATTATAACAGTGGAATGTAAGTCAAAAAATAAAACAAATTAATTTTATGATTTATTTTATATTATATTTATTTATTTATATAAAGTGAATCATAAAATTAATCTTTTCTATTTGTTGTTTTATTTCTTTGTAGTAATATATGTACAATTAATGGTTAATATTCGGAATTTTTAAAAAATCTCTTTACCGAACTGAAAAATTAAAAATATTTCTTTAGGGAAGTATTTGGAATGATAACATCGTGGGTTTATACTATTTTAATGAGATTCGTCAATATCAATGAGAATCGAGAGACTCATATTTTAAAATGAAAAGTAAAATATTATAATTGTAACTATTAAATTAAACAGTATTGATCTTTTTCTTATTAAAATGACTTTTGAAAACATTTTTACATAAATATTTTGCTCAGTATAAATAATAATATAGCAATTTTTGTATGAATCGATGCAATTCTGATCACTTATATTGTATATTGCCATTTAAATACGTTTTTAAAAATAATCTGCAGGTATTACTATTATATTTTATTTGATTATTTTAATTTATTTAAAAGATATATTGTATTATATTGTTACTCCAAAAGTTTCTTCGTTTTATTAAGGAATAATAAATGCATAATATTTTATGCCATATATTATGCTATTAAACTACGTATGGTCTATTTTTTTCTATTACCTTCTTTCATCTCTTTATAAGCTGCATAATGTTATATTTTCAATAATTCTGAGGTTTACTCGCAAAAATTCATTCTAGATGCAATAACATTTATTAAACTAAATTTTTTATCGCAAAAAGAATTTTATTAAATTTATTTATTTATTAAATAAACTACAAACCCATGATTGTGTCTAAAAATTGTCATAGTTATTTCGCCAGAATTCATTAATGAGATTATTGTTAGCGAGAGAGAATGTAATGATCTTAGAGGGGGAAAAGCATGTGACCCTTCCACGATGAGAATGGTTGTGTAACGATGCTTGTCCTTAACAGGATAATCTACTTTCCCTTGTTTCTTTTCTCTGCTTGTTCCCTAATAAAATATATTTTTACATTCATTATATATTTAATTTTCTAGAAAAAAATATTAATGATACTTACGTTTAATTCGAGTCATCATAAATTCTTGAAGAATGAACTGTAAAAATGATGGGGTTTTATTCAAATAAAAATCATTAATCGAAGCATCGATTTTCTTTAAAATATAACATCGTTATCATTATTGAATTATTATCGTCATCAAGTGGTACATCAACGAAGATAATAAAAATAGACGAGGGTTTATGGCCGCGAGGCAAATACGTCACTGAGATTTTCTGATACAGCTTATTTGGAAGAAAATCTTCAGTAGGATTATCCAAAATGTCTCTATTTTTTGTTGCGTTGTGTATATATCGTTGCGAGCGAGCCTGGGAATGCTTTGAGGATTCTCTCAAAGGAAGTAGACTGTTTCCAAGTACCTAAAATTTTTTTAGGAATAACTATGAGTAGGTTGTCTTAAGGGTGAATTCGATTAGGCTATCGTTTCGAGTTGAATAGATTACTGAGAATATTGAAAACAATTAAATTGTATATAGTTGTGAACAATTGTAATAAATCTCTATTAATGTTTTAATACTTGAGTATGCAATAATATATACACATGCACAAAGAGACGATTTGCCTTAAAAAAGATTGCATTTTCAAGTTGTACAAATGTTAACGAGAGCGAGATACGAAAAGGCCTATGCTCTGGAAGATATTGAAAAGCGTACACTATTGTAACGCTTAGGAACTGTGTTATTTTTTTATTTCTTTTGTTTTTCTTCTAAAGTCTTAGTTAGCTCGTTTCTCGTAATGCACACTAAGATAGGGGAGAGATCCATCGATCGTACAAACGTTAAGCGTAACACAAAACCGCCGAATAAACGGGGATATTTTTTGAAGCACGATCATCAAGACACTACGCATTTTTCGGTGTCTCTTTGAGCTTGATTCGACGAGGAAGAAGACGGTTGAGTCCGTTTTCGCGCGCACGCAACCGCATCGTTCGGTACATAAGAAATACGGACACCACCATAAGCTCTTCTAGGTGGTAAAGCATAAGCTGCAGCTTCATCGGAGCTACTTGAAGAACTACAAGTCGAGCAGCAACTTTCAGCATCCTCTGTATCCTCCAGTCTTGACCTCGATGATCCTGCTGCACCTATTGATGATACCAATACATATTATGTCATTTTTATTACCTTAAGAACGAAATATAATTCATATCGATATTTCGTTATTTTTAATTAACAATTTCCAACAAATAATTGTTATTACAACAAATAAATATTCGCATAATTAATTTTATAATATACTTTAGAAGAATAAGTTTAATTTTCTATAGTTTAAATTTTCTTCGCGATTATACAAAAATATGTACATATGTAATATGAAATCAAGAAATGTCAATCTGTAAATACAAGTAAACAATAAATTGTAAATTTTCAAAGATTACGGATTATCTTTTATATTTCAAATTAAAATTAATAATAGCTAAAAAGAGAAATTATAAAATAAGATGAACTTTCTATTTGGGGGAAAAAAATTAAATTAAAGAGAAACAATTCACGATATTTGATAAATGACTTCAAAGTCATTCGGTATTATAAAGAATTCATAAATTTGTGAAAGATTGTCGATTTAATCTTAAAAGTGAATATAGTATTAAACTTCTAATTATCAAGAATTTGAAGAATATTTGTATAGATACCAGTACTCTTAATTTTAAACAATGGAGGAATTCGCAAACTTCTTGGAATGTCTTTTATAGAGAACGAGAGTATACGGGCAGGAATTACGTTGATTTACAGTAAACTCGTGTAAAATTTCTATTTATACATGAAGAACGATAGGAATTCGACGCACCCCAAGTCGACGTACTGGCGACCTCCTCCGGCTGTAAACTTCTCGATCGAGGAACGTTTGTCCTGGACAAAGGATTGTTCGTCGTTGGTGGTGGAGATGGTGAGGATGATGAATTGGTATCGTTTGCCGGTGAAAGAGGTATATTACTCGATGACGGTGCCCCATGATCGCGGACATCTATGTCACCTTGAAACCGCACGCGTCGAGACGTAGGAGTCGGTGGATCCGTTTGACTTGCAGCGAGATTCGTCGGTGATATTGGTGACTCTTGAGCAAGAGTAATTGTTGATGCACCAGCTGCGATACCACTCGTAGCTGGCACCGACGTAGATGATGAAGCTCGCAATGGAGGTGCAGGAAGTTCAGGCATACTTGAAGCGTGGGAAGGTGTACAGTTTTGAACGCATCGGAGTGGCTCTCGGTCCCTCGCTTGCATTAGCCTGTCAAAATAAATCTTTTTAATTTCACAAAATACGATTTTCTAAAATAAACTTTGATAATTCTAATATTTTGAGATCAGAAAGGTGCAAGAAAATGAGAAAAAGATAATTAAAAAATAATCACAAAGGTAATAAGGTGTGGAACCTAGAGGAAAGTGATTGATTTGAGAAATAACAAAAGAAGAATAGATGTAAAATATGTGAATAGTAAGAAAGAAGGTTGGAATTACAGTTTAAAGCACTAGGGAAAATTTATAGTAAGTTAATAATAGGGTAAGGTTTTTTACCTAAAGATATTACATATATATATATTAAGAGAAGAAGGGGCGATATTAACGGAGAAAGTAGGTAGATGGATAATAAAGAAGAAATAAGAAATAAAGAAAAGAGATTAATGAGTAGAAGGAGTGAAAAAGTGTTAGAAAAATAATTAATATAAATCAAATATTCGTGTATAATTATTCTAATTCTTCAAATTCCTAATCATACCTTCCCAAATCGCTACGATTTTCTTCAGGATGAGAGCCACGTTCTTGTAACAATCTCTCGAGATTCCTTTCGAGAAGTACTCTATCAAGACCTCCACCCCTAGATCCACTAGTAGGAAATCCTTCCGTAGGGAATTCTGGACTCAAGGTACTCTGTGTTGGGGTAGTTGCTATCGAGGAAGAGACTTGCTGATGTTTCCTGGTCAATCTTGGCGAGTTTCGTAGCGATCCTGAAACGTGTCTAGATCCTGGCGGTGGAGGAGGTGGAGGTGGTGGTGGACTTGAAGAACCTTCGCTGGTTGTTGCTGCTTGTCTTCTACCTCTACAAAAAAGAATAATTTTGTATTTAAAAGAAGACATACTTTTTTCAGATTATAATGACTGATTGTTTTTAATAATTGCTAAACAGTTTTTATTAATAAATTGCCAGAAATAGCAATTTAATTAATTAATTCTCAAGGAGTACTTACCTAAGGAAACAAGGTGGAGGTGGGGGACCAGCTGAAGAGTCACTCGGAGTTGTTGGTGGTTCTCCTTTACTACAGGCTATACTGCAATAAATAGCACCACGTCTAGGAAGAAAGGGACGGCCTAAAAGTGAGGTACGACATGTTGCACAGCAAAAACATGCCTCTGTCGCGTGCCAATGTTGACCTTCGTGCGACATTTGACCTTGGTCGACTCCGATCGGTTCGCCGCAGCTATCACAATACTCGGCAAAGGAGGCATCGAAACAACGAAGACAATATGGTCGTCCCTCCCTCATAACGTATCTCTGACCACCAAGCTGTAAATGTATCATTAGTTGAATTATAATTTAAATGGTTATAATCTTTTTAAAGTTTTTTTTTATAAGACAAGAAAACAAGAAGAAAATCAATGCTATCAAAAATAAAAAAATATTGTCCTTATTTTTTTTTTAAGATAAATAAAAATCTAAGAAAGTTAACTACAATAGATAGCTGTATTTGTTGATTCAAAAGTATTGAATTGTTCAGAAATTTCGTGCTGATTTAAAAATGTATATTCGATTTATATAATATTTTTACTATGTGCGTACATTTTTATCTAATCAGCATATTTGAAAGACTATGATTATGAATCCAGAGATCAGTACTATATTTTCCTATGACTTATTTTATTTTAATATACTTTATTTTATAATGCTATTAAATTTATCAGACGAAGTCTATAGATACTTTAACACATTATTGATAAATTATTATAAATAAAAACTTAATGCTTTTTAAAATAGCTATATTATTAATTTAATTAACATAATAAATATTCTGAAAAATTCATAATATACAACTTTTGATTATATATATATATATATATAAACACTATCAAACATAATAAATTATATTATAATAACAACTTATATAATAGTATACTTTAATACTTATAGACTACAGGCCCGACCTAAAAAATCGATGGGTCATCTGATCCCCCAAGAAACCTGTATGGGACGATATAGGGGCATAAAATAATAATTTTTAACACTATGCCGTTACTTGTAAGCTATCCAACTGAGTCCAGGTGAGAATTAAAAAGCACAAAATAACCGGGTGCTTTTTTATCAAATCCATCGAAAATAATGAGAAAACACGTAGTGCTGTTAAAAAATAGTAAGCCACAAAGTCGGAGAAAATTTTTGATTTTCTGACAAAACCCAGGGTCTATTAAATCATTTGATTTTGAACGGCGTTGGTTTCATACAATTTCAATACCTATTCTAATTGATTATTCCGCAACGCCGTATAAAAATTATGCAACAAGGGAGAAAAATCGAGGGTTAAAATCCACCTTTTTTCACGGGTCTGGGGGGTGATTTGAAACTACATAAAATTAATTTTTTTTGAAAGTATTTTATGCATAGATAACATTTTTCCACATGCCGTACATTTTTTTTGGTCAAAGGGTCTGTATGGGGAAAAAAACTTCCGAAACATTCATGTAAAAAAATGTACTTTTGGGTGATATTTAGTACGACATTTTTTTATACGGCATTTAAATAGTTTATTTTAATTTAATGCAATCGTCTATAAAAAATCAATGCCGTACAAATCTGATAGTTCATATTCATAAAAAAGTAATAAAAATAATAAATATATATAATTTTCATTTTATGTTGTTGGCTTCGTAAAATGAACTCTCCTTTAAAATTAATATTATTCAAATAATAAATATTATTTATAAAATGAATGTTTTATTTATTAAAATACTTGTTTACTTTTTAATTTACATTTTTAATACGTACATATAATGTTCAGAAGGGTAGTACGAACGCGAAGTATACATACAATATAATATATACGCATATTGTATATGAATGTGTATGTGTATATTAGATAAACATATTATAAAACAAGCAATAAAAATTTTGTTGGTAGTGAAAGTGTATAAAATGCTGGACATGTGATTAAGTGTGGGCAAGTACCAAGTTGTGATTGTAATATTATAAGTATTTTAGCTTTTTGTTTACAAACTTCACATATTAAAGGAAATCCACATGAAATAACTGGTGGAATATTAAAAAATGGTCGAATAATTGGAATGATTTGTTCATACAAGGCTGGTTTAAGTGGTATTTGTAAATATGTTGTTGCAGTATTGCAATATCATTAACTGTCACTAATTTAATTGATCTTCTACGTTTTCTTTCTTCTCGAGAATCTATTTGATCTACAGGACAAGCACATTCTTTGGATGATCCTAAAGGAAGATTTT